TTGACCCTTGGGACAACAACATGATGGCCAAAAAAGAACTGCGCGCACTGCCCTGCTGGTCTGTGCAGTGAGTAACATTCCCTGTTTCTGCCTGCGCTACTTTGCTGGATCACTGGCGCTTCATCACCGAGAGTTTCTGCAAAACAGAGACGTCTTTCCCAAGGCCTTGGACATGTCCTACAACCGTGCCGAAAAAAATCACGCTGCTATGAGTGTCCTGGCGACGCGTCAGTGGAGCTAGCCGATGACATGGGGACAATGAATGGAGCCAGCCGCCATGCATGTTGGGAAAAACCACCTGACAATCTGAGTACGTGACTGTAGGGGCGCGATTCGTCGATAGAGGCTGGCAAGACACAAAGAAACACACGCCGCCCCCTAACCCCCCCCCCCCCCCACCCCACCCCTTCACGCAATCATTCGTGTATCCCTATGATGCTTTGGCTCTAGGCCCTTTTGGTAGAATAACGTTCATTGAAAAGGAAGCTTGCTTCGCATTGCTCAATCCATACACCAGAAACTTCCAACACAACACAATCCTCAGAGACTGCTACCACAGTGGGGTATCTTCTCCTTGAAGGTTAGTTGAGAACCAGATGTCATCAGGCTTCATGGAAGCCTACACAAGCGCAGGCCGTCCTACCGGCAGCAGACAAGAGACACTGAATCGCACGACGGAAGAGTCAGCTGGCAGATTGGAAGAACTGGGTGACGACTGGGTCGCATTCACAATAGTGGCGCCAGAACGTCTCACGAGTGTGTTGCGAGCTACTCGACGACGCACAGCTCACAGATCCAACGGAAACTACTTCGAAATTACGCTGAAGAAGGCTTCCTGAAGGGAGCCACGAACGTGTATCTCAACTCCTCAGTTTCTTTCATCACAGAAGACGCAACTCCGAGTTTCTCACCTTCATGTCCGAATTTGGCATCTTGCTGAGAAAACTTAAGACAGAACGAATGGCTCAGCGACACCGTGGCGCGTTCCCGTTCAATGACAATCGCATTGCACAGTTTTTCATAACGCAGGGTGAGTTCACAGATCAACAGAGAGAAAGGTTGGTCAGCGCAATGTCGTGGCGGAACATCCAGCTTGAGAACTACACATATGATGCTGAAAACGCAGCACCGTGATCTCTTCATCACGACCCGAACAACCCAATACTCCGACCAACCGGAGTTGGACGTCAGAACATCTTCTACATTCTCGAGCAAGAGAACGAGGAAGGCTTTTGGGTTGGAGACGGAAGCCAAGGTTTCATGGGAGACTCTGGGCATTACGCAGTCAGGAAGGCATTGGGATCAGGAAGAAGAACAGGAAAATCCAAAGGTGAGAGAGCAGTGGCCGACAAGGTGGCCTCAAACCCTTCCGAAGGAGCAACAAGATCAGGCTCTCGTGACAGAAACGCGGGAGCACTGTGTCAAACACCGATCTCTCACACACCTTGGCCAATTCGAGCTGAAGCAGCAGTCCGACTCTTGAAAGCCCACCTCAAGATCACGCGGAGAAGGAACCAGCGCCTGACTCACTCAAGAAGGTCACACACCAACTCGCGAAAGCCGCTGCAACGGTCCGGTCAGACATCAGACAGTTGGAGCTTGCGTTCGGACAACGACCATCAGATCTCATCCACTGAGATCTTGCCGACACAATTTACAAAAGAGAAGACTGCTGAAGAATTGACAGCGATCCAGATCCAACAGTTGTCAACGCAAGACATCAGGAGAGAGGAGCTCCAAGCCTCTTCAGGTAGGAGATAAGATGTTCTACTGGCAAGAGAACGAATCAAAGATTCAACCCATTTGGTTGTCCGGGCACGGTTTTTTCGCTTGCTGGAGCGATGGTAGGACTTGCTCTTGGAACCAGTCTCAAGATTGTTTTTTCCCGAAAGCATTGCGAAGGGTTCTTCCGTGCGGAGCTCTTGGTCAACTTGCGCAGAGTAGCTTGCACAGAGTCACCAGCATGGAGATATCAGGAACTCTTGGTCAACTTGCGCACAGTAGCTTGCACAGAGTCGCCAGCATGGAGATACCAGCATGGAGATACTCGCGCAGAGTTACTAGCACAGAGTAGCTTGCACAGAGTTACCAGCATGGAGATACTTGCACAGAGTCACCAGCATGGAGATACCAGCATGGAGATACTTGCACAGAGTCACCAGCATGGAGATACTTGCACAGAGTCACCAGCATGGAGTCACCAGCATAGAGTTACTTGCGCAGAGCCAAGTGCAAAGAGCCAAGCGCATAGAGCCAAGTGCTCAGAGCGAAGTGCAAAGAGCGAGGTGCAAGGAGCCAAGTGCACAGAGCTCAGTAAGTGCACAGAGCCAAGTGCAAAGAGCGAAGTGCATCGAGCCAGGTGCATAGAGCTAGGTGCATAGAGCTAAGCTAAGCTAGGTGTAGAGGCTCGGCGTTAGCAGCTGTGTAAGCTAGGTTAAGTAAGTTAGGTTGAGTACTTAACGCGCGGGAAAGAAAGAGAAAGAGCTCGGTATTAAGAATCTCTTTCTTGGCGGGGGGTGGGGATGTTGCCGACGATCGGGAATGCGACCCTCTGCGGGGATCGGTGTGGTCGAGGTGCAAAAACTCGAGTTGTTTTTGCGTTTTTGTCGGTGCGCGCGCGACCCTCTGCGGGGATCGGCGTGGCCGAGGTGCAAAAACTCGAGGTTTTTTGCGTTTTTGACATTCCAGGATGAACCCTCTGCGGAGATCGGCGTGGTCGAGGCGTTTTTGACATTCCCGGATGAACCCTCTGTGGAGATCGTGCGTGTCGAAGCGCTCTCGCTGTGGCGCCGTACGAATTCTTCTTAGTCTCGGCGAACCCTCTGCGGAGATCGTGCGTGTCGAAGCGCTCTCGCTGCGGCGCCGTGCGATTTTGTTTCTCGCGAAACGGCCTTTGGAAGTTGTCTCGCGGTTTGCGCGCCTGCTTTCGCAATTCCGCGGTCGCGGGTTCGATTCGCCCCTGGTCCGCGGCAGCTCCGGCTTGAAAATCGCAGCTTTTAAGTACAAACGTAGTACGCGGAGTGTGCTCCTGCAGCTTTGGCTGGAAAATCGCAACTTTTAAGTACAGACGTAGCATGCGGAGCGCGCTCCCGCAGCTCCGGCTGGAAAATCGCAACTTTTAAGTACAAACGTAGTACGCGGAGCACACTCCCGCAGCTCCGGCTGGAAAATCGCAACCTTTCAGTCAAAAATAGTACGCGAAGTACATTCCCACAGCTCCGGCAGCACTTGCGCAGAGCAACTTGCGCAGAGTCACTTGCGCAGAGCAACTTGCGCAGAAACTTGCACAGAGCACTTGCACAAAGCACTTGCGCAGGGCAACTTGCACAGACCAACTTGCACAGACCAACTTGCACAGAGCACATGCGCAAAGCGCTTGCACGGAGCAACTGGCGCAGAGCACTTGCGCAGAGCAACTTGCTCAGAGCACTTGCGCAGAGCAACTTGCACAGAGCACTTGCGTGCAGCAGCTTGCAGAGAGCAACTTGCGCGCAGCAGCCTGGAACAATGCAGCTTGCGCAGACCACTTTCGTGATAAATCGCGCGGCACAGTTCGTGCAAAGCACATTGCGCCGAGCAGACTCGTGCAGAGCCAACTTGCACAGAGCCAGTTGCGAGAGCCACTCGCGAGAGCCAACTTTCACGGAGCCAAGCTGCGCAGAGCCATCTTGCACAGAGCTAAGTTGCGCGAGCGTGCTTTGCAGAAACTGTGGCCGTCGTGTAAGCTTTGCTATTGATTGCTTTGCTTTACGAGCTTTACTCTTCTTGTTTTAACGGATGTAAATATGTGGGATCGAGCACTGCCATGTTTCCTCTCGTAGGACGATGAGATCGAGCTCTCATGTGACCATACACATTGAGCATCGCCGCGTGCAGACACGCTCGCCGCAGCGATGTAAAAAGGTGTCTCCGCGGCTGGATGAGCACCTGGGGAAAAATGCTTTCGGGCCAATCGTCCTCTAGTTTTAAGTGAGACCTATGCCCCATGAAAAAGCATCTTTGCAGAACGATCAGCCATCAGCCTCCCAGCCGTTGAGAATCGCAGGTAAGACTCCTCCTGAGCCTGCAGTCGAGGGGCCATCAGAGAACAGGTTTGTGGCAGACCTTTCGTCCATACCAGAACAAACACATTGGAACTCTGTCAGAAAAGGAAAGATTCGTGTTCTTGAGATCTTTGTAGGAAGTACAAGATTCAGCCAATGCTCCGCGCTTGCAGGATTGAATGTAGGGACTCCTGTCAACATCAGAGGTGGCTCCGACGCGATAACTTCCAAGGGACGACACATAGCCTTGGAAATCATAACAGGCACCAGATGTCAATCCAACAGGGCAATTGCGAGATATCAGTTGATGCACAGAACAGAACCCTCAGGTTTCAGCTTTGCTCAGACAGATCTGCGACGTAGGTGATATTCATTTCTGAAGGGGTCCTGAATCCGGGCTCAGAAGCCTCAAGCCGACAAGCCTGCTTCATAGTTTGCGCAAGATTTTCACAGGTGGTTCGAAACAGCCGCAGCTACTTGGAGGCAAGGCAAGCGCTTTCGGAGGCAGAACCAAACTGGTACAGGTCTGCCCTTACCAGTTCTGCCACAAGCGCCGCTTGACAACGAAGCGCGCCTGCTCAAGCACATCCTCGAGCCATAGGCACGGAGGACGAGCTTCTTCGACATAAGTTAAATGATGCGCGGCGGAGCAACACGTGTGTAAAAAGGTTAAGGAGTTTTTGCATACATATTAATTCGCTGACAATGACCGAAGGCAATATTGACTTAGAATATTAATATGATGTAAGCGGTGAAATAGAAACCACGCTTCACAGAAAACTCAAAAACACAAAACTCAAAAACCACGCAAGAGACAGAAAACTCAAATGCAAGAATAAGAAACCCCAAAAACACATCTCAAGTTTGCGCGATTGAAACAAAAACATCGCAAGTACGCACATTGTCATGAGGACTTGCAAGTCATCGCCCCATCGCCCCAGAACACCCTGCCTGGCGTCACATGGAATGGGTCGAACGCGCGCCTCAGCATGTTCCCATTTTCACCCTGATCTTGGGCTCCCTGCTGGCCTTCCCGTCTGGTGAAGTGCTGCATCCGCATCGCCGCCTGCCTTGAAGGAAAGGAAACGGTCCACGCAAAAACTGGCGCAACTCATCGCAAAGCACACCCTGCTGGTTGCCAGCCCTACACCAAATTTCACCCATCGCACCGGCCAGGCTGCACTGCAACTTGGAACGCTTGCACGTGCGGCTGTACTGACAACGCTTTCTCCCTGCAGCAGAGACGCACTTGGTGTTGCTGAGGAAGCTGGAAGTCAGCTGGCTTTGCAACCACCCACTCCTGAGAGCAACACCAAGCTGTTTGCAGCTTTCTTGCATTCCTCGTTGGGCTGAGTAGCCCCCCAAATAGCGGAAAAACGGGATGATTGCACACCAGCACCTCTAACAGCACCACTCGAAGAGCGCAGCAAACAGCAGCCCCCAGAGCACACGACGCCAATATTGCGCTCCCACTCCCCCCTGCATCCCTGACATCAAGCTTGCAAGAAAACCACACCCCAAAAACGCCCCAACCCTGCCATCAATCTCGTTCGGCACTCCGGCGCTGCAGCACCCCACACTGCATGCCCTAGAGCACCCTACGGACGTGCCCGCACCGTCACCTGCGCCTCAACAGCAGCAGTAGCATTTGCAGCGCCCGTGCAATCCTCTGCCCGGATCAGCCTGGTAGATGTGCTTTATGTGAGTGCGCGCCAAGAGCTACAATCAAAGCCCAGTTCCTTCCACAAGCTTGGCCATCTGTGGTGGTGTGAGACGAACAGTTTGATGAGAGTCAAAAACAAATTAATTCAGGATTGGGAACCCACAAAAATAAGTTATGCCAGACAGTCAGCATACGGTGTACGCCGGTTGGTAAGTTAGTAACTTGGCAAGTTAGCAAGTTAGCAACTTAGCAAGTTAGCTAGACATGTAGCAATTGAGTAAGTTAGCAGGTTGGTAGGGGCGCCAATCAGGATAAGTTAGCAAGTTAGACGGTTAGCAAGTGCGTAAGTTTGCAAGTTAGTAGGTGCGCCAGTTAGTAAGTTAACAAGGCAGAGTGGAACTGGAGGATGGGGTAGACTAAGTTAGTGCGGAGGAAAGGGCAGTTGGAGCGGTAGCAGTGCTGTTACTACTACTCCTACAACAACTACTACTACTGCTGCTGCTGCTACCACTGCCACTGCTACTGCTACTGCTACTGCTACTGCTACTGCTACTGCTACTGCTACTGGAACTCTCGAGTTTTTTGAACCTCCAATCCACTTGCCTCGACCACGCAAGTCCGCGCAGACGCCGATCCATGCACATGGGAAACGCAAAACTCATCGAAACCTTCAAGCTTGAACCTGCTCCGGAAAAGACGGGGGCCCGGCCAACTCTTCCTCCGTGATACTCCGCACCTGCCCGTGCTCCACGGCCTGGAAGCGTTCTGCGAAAGTCACTGATCGCTGGTCAACCACACCAGGGTTGGGCCCCCCTTCAAAAGAAGGCCAAGCTGTTTACGCAAATTTTGCCCAACTCGCGGAACGTGAGCGGCAAAGTAGCCCGGAGCAGAACAAACACAAAGGCTGGCGAAATCTCCCTAGCGACATGTCAAACTAATGCTCCCTGCGTGCTTAAAGCAAGCCTTCAGACGGAATCTGCCAACGCAGATCGCCATGGAAACATCAACCACTTGCGCTGGCGAAAGCTAAGAACGGACACAAGCGCACACACACACACACACACACGCGCACGCACGCACGCATGCACACACGCATGCACGCAGGCACGCACGCTCGCACGCATGCACGTACACCATGCGCAGGAAGGACAAGCTGAAACGCTGCAAAGCCTGCAAAGCCAAAGTGCTCGCACACAGAAAATGGCGCACGCAACACGATGATCCAGGCCGCCCAACCGACCGACCGACCGACCAAGCCCTACGCCAAGCCCAGGGCTTGAGAGATGGAGACACCAAAACAAAGCCGGTTGATCCCTGCACGTGCTTCCGGCCCAGCCGAATGTGTCTTGTCTGCTTCCAATTGTTCCATTCTTTCCCGAGTTTGTCCCATCTTTTCACACGCAGCGTTTGTCCAAGACACGCTTGATTAGGCACCACTCAAGTCGATAAATGTCGCTTGACTCATGCATGTTTAATTCGGAAAGCCTGACGTGGCCATTCGCAGACTCGCACATGCCCTTGGCAATGGTTCGCAAAGGTTCAGGCGTGTGCGTTGCCGAGACTCTTACCGCCGTGACTTCCGCAACACGGACGCAGAATGCCAAGTAAACCTGAGCTTTTGTGAACACATACCAGGCACGTGGACTTCTCTTGGCTGCCCCCACTACATCATCCATATGCGGCAATGCCCTTGCCTGGTAAAACGCGGCGGCAAAATTCCAGCAAGCAAAGCACCTGGCCAGTCTCCGTCTTGCCCAAGTAACAGCTTCCAAAGTGGCATTGAGTCCGAAAATGTGTTGTGACCGACAAATTAACACCCAACCCCAAAAAACGCTCCCAAAAGGAGATTCCTCTACAAAACGGTTCTTGCCATGTGAACACGCAGAGCAAACAAGACCAATCAGCTCGTTTTATGGGGGCGTTAACACGGCCAATGTGTTCCCAGCCTGTTGCTGACCACTGTGCCGTAGTATTTCTGCAATGTTTCCAGCGCGCCCTGGACACTCAGCAAGTAGACCTGTCGGCCTGCAATGAGCAAAATGACGTGGGACAGTCATGAAAACACAAAGCAAATGCAGTTTGTCCTTTCAAACTGCTTGCTCTGGTGAGTTATGCGAACGCCATGCTATTCTTGGCGTCGGCTTGACTTCAGTCGATATCAATATCTGTGTTCAGCTCTTTTTTTACAAGAAGGCTGCAAAACGCCGTTCATGATGTGGCAACCAGGTGACAGGGCGAATGATGTTGAAGCTTTTCTAGCTAGGCCCGGGTATCAAATGTGTCAAAAGGACTGCCTGGTTTGCGGCAGTGTCCGGTGACATTCATGATTACAAAACAATATGCTCCCATCGCCTCCTGCCAAGCCATCTCCATAGACAGCGTCCAGTCCTTGGGTCATTGTGACCATTTGTGACCATTGTGACCCGGGTTTGCAAAAAGTGGGAGCCTTGCAAGTCAAGGCCCCGTAGCAATGTTGAGCCGACCGTCGGAATGAACTCGACAAGGGAGTCCCGCAACTGTAGCCACAACTGTAGTCTCTACTGGCCCTGATCTTGCAACGAGAATCTGATGACCTGCTGGTTGACACTGTTGTGGACATATCTGGTCAAGACAATGTACGAATACGTGCTGAGAGCAAGCGCAGCAAGGTCTTGGCGGTAAAAAGCCAATATGTGTACGTGATACAAACTGATTGCCTAAAGGTCCGCAGTTGAGCTTGGGCATCGATCAAGGCTCTACGCCGTAGCCATAGAGCCATTGAGACATGCTAAGATTGATTTCGAACATATCAAAACAACTCAAAAGAGCAAGAAACCCCAAACGGGCGCCAGCAACAGCGCCCTGAACAAGAAGTGGGGGGTGTATGATTACTCGTTCCTCAGCCGTTCAGGGGATTCCCAACCCTTGATTTTGCGGGCAAAGCACTTTTTCTAAAGGCATCCATGCGCATGCAACCCTCAATCCTACCAATCAAGCAAACTCTACAAGCATGACACACAACCATGCCAGTGGGGCGTAGGGGTCATGTTTTCAGATGTTCTCAGGACCCCCCTTGCCCGCAAGGGCCTGCGCAGAACGAGCGCCGAAGGCAGCTCTCAGCGCATATATAAAGGATTTATGAATCACGGGCAAACTTTACGGGAACGCACGTCACAAGATCCCCGATGGGCTTGATGATGTCAGGTCGCGCGAGGCGTCCCAGCCACAACGCTTTCACCAAGATCTTGCACGCGGATGAGCTCAGTTCACCTGTTTCGTTGTCATCAATCATCCATCCAGGTAATGGAGTCAACGTTTTGCGCAGTTTTATAGCCAGCTGGCCTGAGACAAGGACGTACAAATCAACCGATTGCTTTAGCGCTCCGTAGGCTGCACTGTCGGCTTCATTGGCCTCGCACTTGCGAGCGTTCATGATGACATGATTTCTTCCAAGAACACGATACATTTGTTCCACATTGGTTGTGGAAACTCAATGTCAACAAGCGACACTTGCTTCTCCTAAAGGGATCACGCTGTTTGTCTGACCCTGACAGCGTGAGGTCGTCTACATACGCTGACAGCAACAGCACAACTGGTTTTAATGAATTTTTGCTTCCGCCACTTCGGACGAAGTTCAGGCGGTCATGTCTGATGCTGCGAGTGGAGCAGAGCTTGAATGTATGCTTTCACGGCATCTGCGGCTGTTGTCTTGACCTGGCAGCAAACCGCGCGCAAGGCAGTTATTTAAGCCCTGGACCAAGGTTGGGTTGGCGCCGGGCTCTTGCTAGGCCGGCCGCACCATATTCAAAGATGCTTAGCAAGCTCTAGGACTTTCATGGACGCGATAGCAATGAGCTGTTCGAAGTGAACCTTGGTCTGGCCGCAAGACGTGAATCATTTGGAACCCAAGGAGGGGAGGATGCGCCACATCTCGTTCCCCTGATGACATCCGCATCAATGCAACTCGTGTCGTTGAGTGCTTGCCGATCAGCCGTCAAATCTACAGCCCGAGGCCGCACAATGCGGGCGCAGCAGTAGAAGGAGACGACGCTCTCTCTCTCTCTCTCTCTCTCTCTCTCTCTCTCTCTCTCTCTCTTGCAGATGGGAGCTCTTCAAAGAGGAGCCCCGACCCCACCGCGCCGGGACGATGAGGTGCCACTTGCGGAGCTAGCAGGCGGCGAACCAAGTGACGAAAGGGTACCTCGGGCAGCAGCCATTTCTCCCAAACACCTTCGGTCACATTTCCCCAAACCCATACTTTGTGCGTTTGCCAAGAACACCGCCATGCCCGTTTTCTCGCACGCCCGATGGTCGTGCCGATGACGGAGTCGACAATCCTCCTGCACCGTTTCAGCAACTCGCCGCTGACAGTGTCATCCTACAAAAGGCCATCATGTCGTCAGGGCTTTTCTGGAGCCAGGGTCGCACACCCACAGCCCCTCTCTCCAATGTGTCTCCTTAATATGGGTCAGGCAGGGGAGGCAGCAAAGAATCGGGTTGGCAGCCAAGACCCGCTGCCGAACGATGGCCCCACACGAATGGGAAGAAATGTTAGGGAATGCTGCAGATTGCGCAAACACTCCTATCTCTTCGCAAGCCTCTCCGTGTCGTTTGACCAGCATCGTAGGTCTGGCAGCCGAAGTTAGTTCTCCGCAGGCAAATGCCGAGAATGATGCGGAATTTTCTACCCCTCTGAAAGGCTCGCATGACCAAAGCCCTCCCGTGTTGGGCGGACAGGATGTACGAATGGGCGATCAAACAGTGCAAGAGCACAGGGTGGACTTGATGGATCCTCACGGGCCCTCCTCATCCTACACCTCTGTCTCTGAGGCTGATCCGGACGCCCACTTGCCCAGTCCTTCCTCTAACCTGCGTGTGCAACCTGCGTGATGGGCGGGACTCGCAAAGAGCCCTGCCCTTACCAATCCGTCACAACTTGCCAAAGCAAGGCCCGCCAAAGGAAGTCCGCACCGGGCGCAGCCTCTGTTAGTGCGCGCGACGCAGAAGCAGATCACGCCAAACACTGCCGACGTTGGCATTCGACGCGCTAGCCATGTTGAGGAAATTTTAAGGGCAGATGTAAAGCAGCAAATTGCTTCCCTAGCAACATGGCACATCAGCTTGCTGCACACACGCCAGCCCCTCCTCCAACGGCTTCAGCTCCCCTGCACCCGCAGGCATTTCCGGTTCCCATCACCATGCCAACGGCGGCTTAAAGGTCGCTCTATTTAGTGACTCGGACATGTTGGATTGTCTGATATCTACAGGCAAGCACAAACTCGGCGCGTGAGAAATGACAAGCAGAGGTTGACATCTAATTGCGTCAAAGGGTTCTGCATCTGTTTGGTGCGCATGAGCGATGCGTCTTGTGAAACTATCGACTTGTCACTTCAGGGAAAGATATCCTTGTAGGCAATATCGCACTCGGAATAGTCTTATAGGCGACGAAGTCAATACAATGGATCTTGCAAGGGTGTCGGCTGGTCGGTTATATCGTTGTGCCATCGGTTGTTGCGAACTGGAAGATGATCATAGGTTGAGGAATCTGATCACGCTTGTTGTTCTTCAGCGCCAACGCTGCTGGTGGTAGTAGTACTTGCTGTAGTTACTCTCCCGGCGCTCTTCCATCCGGAGTCACGCTTGCTGTAATCTTTCCATTCTTTCATGCGCTGGGCGTTGACTTTCTACAGACACACAAACCATGAGAGGAGCATGCCAGTCGCCGGCGTTCCCTGCATTCACAAGCATCTCATTCACAATGCGTTTGGCAGAGAAAAGCTTGACAGTGGCTGATGGTCATGCTTGTGTCATCTTCGAACGCGCTCTCGCGGCCCTAATCATGGCGCTTCCTTCCTATGTCCTTCGTTTGGCTATTCGGTTTTGCCTCAGCTGAGAACGAAGTTCTTCACCACGCAATCCCTTCTTGCGGATACCGGAAGTCAGAGGCAAAGCCAAGTCTGTCAATGTTGTCCAGGTGGTGGAAGCTGCTCCAGCAATCTTGGAATTTGCTCATGACCGTTGGCAGAAACACAAGATCCGGTCGAGGGGACTAGGAACATGTTTTTCCCGTCTTGCCCTGCGTAGCTCAGGTCCGATATTTCTTGGCCTTTGGGATTGGTGACGGCAACAACCTCTCCGTTCGATTGCGACGCGATGGATAACCTTTGCTTCATTGAATGGAAACGCGCCACGGTCTCTGTTGCGTTTCATTGACACGCCTGGGTCGGCTGCTGAGACCTTGCGGTCTTCTCTGGTTTGCGTCTTGCACTGATTGTGATGACGGGCATCAGATCATTCCACGCTGCCTTCAGTCGGTGTAGCAAGATCTCAATCTTTGAAATGCGCATGAGAAACTCTGTGTTGCGTCTTCTACGATTGAAGAAACAGGGGGTCGATAAAGATATGCGTTGGCCGTTCCCATGAGCCGGCTCTTGAGAAAAGGCCCCCAACACTCTGATTCCATGGCAGTGCAGGAGGTCCAGTCATCAATAAGCTCCTCATATCAAACCAGCTAACTTTGCCGTCATACGATGGCTGCCGACAGACCATTAACCTTTAGGCAACGAGTTTTGCATCGACACATGCTTTGGCATCATCACGATGTCATCGGATAGAAAGGGCTTCATGCAAGCTTTTACCACGCTGCGCTTTCGGAGCGGCTCTCTGCCTCGGGTCTTCTGCCTCCGCTTGCCGCGAACATTGAAAAGCTGAGTGCTGTTCGACCTTCTAGGTGAAAGGATTGAACATTACCGTGTTTGTTCAGTCTTCTTGGCCTCCTTCGGCTGAAAAACGCCGTTTTTTGGCGAAACGAACTGGCAATGAAACAGCAATGAATGGGAAATGCAGAAATGATGGGTAAATACAGGGGACATGTGCGGAAATGCAGAAAAAGTTGCAGGGAAGTACTGAAAAGGGGATTGACGGGGAAATTCGGGGAAAGGCAATGCAGGGAATATACAGGGGAAGGAAATGATAGTAAACTGCAAGGACATGCAAGGACATGCAGGGGCAGGAAGCGGAAATGAAAGCAAAGCAAGGGGAGATGAATGCAAGGGAAGCGAAGAGGAACTAAAATGGAAATGCAGGGGAAAGGAACTTGGATACGAAGAGACATGAAAGACAGTGGGGAAATGAACGGAGGTGCCGGGAGATCTAGGAGTGAAAAATTGGAAATGCAGAGGAAAGGGACAGGGACGTAGGGCCACGACGAGGAAATGCTAGGAAATGACGGGACATAAAAAGTAAATGCATGGAAATCTAGGGGAAACACATGGGCTTTGAAAGGGTAGTAAAGCGACAGAGGGCTGCAACGTCGGCGGACTGAGTCGGAGGATCTAAAGTTTCTTTGAAATGGCACTGGACCAGAGTCACATGCATTGTGCTTTGCACCTTAAAGTTCAAATCTCTCATGACAAATATGCTCAACCAGAAAACATGTAAATTCCTGCCTGAGATTGTGGCATGGAAAAATGATTGCCTAGAACCGTGTTTTGGCCCAGAAAGCCTAGGGCTTCTCTTCAAGGGTAGACAAACATACATGACTGATACAACATGTTTGGCAGGGTGCTGCGGCATTAGGATGCTGTTGGAGGGCGCTTTTGGAGGATGCTGAGCCAGGGAGGGTCCTTGCACGGTGCTGCTACGCAGGGTGCTGCCGGAAGGCGTGACCAAGAGTTTTGGCAGGGTGCTGTTGCAGTGGAGGACCGGGCGCGCGCTTAAAGTTGTTCCTGCCTGCATTTTTGCTGTTGCGAGCATTCACGGCTGTCCAATTTGGGGTCTATGCTGGAATGTGAAATGAGCCTTTCCCGCCGCACTCCAACACTCGAACAAAATAGTTGACTAAGCCGCACTATGGTGCAGCTTGGAGGGTCCGCGTGCATTTGATGAACAAAGTGCAGTCACTAGACATTTAGGTGCTTGTACGCAACACAGATCTTTGCATGCGAAAGGAACCTTGCCAGGCAAACTTCGCAAGCTGGCGTTGAAACCTATTGCCACCAAGAGGCGAGTTTCGAAAATGCAAAACCAATCATCGACCGACGGCGGCATCGCAAAGTCAATGAGCCTGTAAATTTGAACCTGTCCAAGAGATTGGCAGAATGGACTCCACAGGCTCTGCCAGGAATGGATCTATGCGCACAGAGTCTTTGTGGCACACCTTTAAGTTGTGGCAACAAGTAACATGCCAACGTCACTGCCGCTAGAAGTCAAGGTTCTCCCCCCAGGGCACGTTAGCCGTTTGCGATTTATCCCAAGGCCAAACGGAGGCCGGCTGGCTCAAGTTCATGGCAACAGGGTTCCTCTCTTGCAAGCCACGAGCCTCTCGACTGGTCTGCTGTTGAAGGGCGTCGCTGCTGGAGGCTTTACCTGCCAAAGAAAGTCAACCATCTGGATCCAGAAAGCACTTGCTCAAATATGTCATCAACTCAGCCAACAAGATCATGCGCGATCTCATGTCTACCAACCCCTGAAATAGGTCTACCCAGACCTGCTGTGTGTGTACCAGCCTAACATGTTCTGAATTGCACTGGCTCACACGGCCTAGCTGCGTAACTTAAGCGTGAATCCTTTCTGAATCTCGCAAGGCCAACTTGAGCCTATGAGCCGCGGTCAAATGCGTTGTTCCCGCAATGGATGCAGGCCAAATGTCCCTGACCATGGACACTGGATACGTGACCAAACCTCAAATGAAGCCTTGCTCGAGTTGCTCCAAACGTGTGACATGACTCGCAACCTGACCAATACAACTCTGGGTCCAAGCCATAAGCTTTGCTCGAGGCTACACTTTTGGTCGTCCCGAGTTTGCCCCTGAAAGATTCCGACGCCTGTGGGCTGAGGGCGGTTGAGGAGTTGAGCGTGGAACTTCCGCGCCAAAGACGCGATCGCTTTGATCGTGTCTGGCCGTTCCTGGCCACGCAATCCGAAATTTGGCAAGCCCACAAGACGAGGCTTTGATCCTGACTCATGAATCAGGTCTAGACAAAGCACTCTGCAGATGGTCAAGCCTTTAACTGCTGCTGCCTTTGTCTTCTTATTATTTTCCTCCCCCCTCTGCTCCTGAACCCTTGTTGACCTACCGACCAAGCAATCCAGCCGTTTCGTGCCATGCCAGGCCATGCCACACACACACACACCACGCCACGCCACGCCACACCCACCCGGCCAGCCACCCAGCCACCCATCCACTTCCACCCAAGCAACAGCTGCCCGACCCAACAACCCAACCACCGAACCACCCAACAACCCAACCACCGAACCACCCAACCACTCAACAACCCAATCAACATCCACCCACCCGCCCACCCGCACAACACACCACGAGCCCAAACCACGAAACCCAAACACCATAGCACCCAACAACGCAACCACCCAAACACCACGCAAACCACACCCCACACCCAACTGCCCAATCGCCCAACAGCCTACCCACCCCAGCAAACCCCACCCAACAACCCAACCACCAAAACACCTAGCAACCGTTACCCAAAAACTCCAATCGCCTCACCACCAAACCACCCAACAACCCAAGTAGCCAGCCCAAACCCCACTCACCGAAAAACCCAACCACACAAGTCCAAGTGAATTGCTGTCATTTGGCTCACTTGCTGCCACTTGTGCTCTTGCCACTTGGGTCGCTTGCTGCCACCTGGGTCACTTGCTGCCGGCTTGCTGCCACTTGGCAGCAAGCGACCCAAGTGACCCAAGTGACCCAAGGATGCGATTCAGCTAATTTATCTGGCCCCAAGTGACCTATCTGTGAACCCAAGTGACACAAATCAGACAATTGTCCCATCCGGCGCAATGTGACATCACAGTACGAGCAGGCAAGCAAGCAAGCAAGAAAACAAGCAGACAAACAATCCATCAACATTCCTACTTGCAGTCAACTTACACTACGGTTTCCATCAGCCCTGACGGCGCAGCTCCGTTTTCTTCACTGTTTACCTACAGGGTAATGCGTTGGCTAGACCCACCGACCAAGCAGGTTCACACCTGCTGTGGGTGGGCCATGCGGGTCACTCCCTGCATGGCCACGCAGGATCGCTTCCTGCTTAAAACCCCGGCTGCACAGAAACTCTATCGTGCAGCCCGATCGGTGGGCATTCGCAGGCAATCTCCTGCGCGGACCCCAGGCACTACATGCCCTTCAAAAGTCGGGACACTCCACCGAAGGCGGCCGTCAACTCAGGGTGGGCCGGGTGAGAGAACTAGCCAGTTGCGAACTGCAGTAGGTAATGACACCTTGAACACCCTGCCAGACCTCATTCAAGAATACGTAATGCGTTGGCTAGACCCACCGAGCAAGCAGGCCTGCTCTGGGGGTGGGCCATGCGGGCCACTCCCTGCATGGCCATGAAATCCCAACGCGCTTGAAATCCCAACGCACTTACAGAAATTCGAACACACGGACAAGGGGAGAAAACGGGAGTGCCCAGAGGGGCAGCGGCACTCCGCTTGGAAAGCTGTGAAGCAGTTAGCCTTCCACCAAGGGTGCTCCAGACCTAGGCGGCTAAATGCATCTGCCCAGATACTCTTGCTGAAGAACCAGAAGAACCAGGCCCACAGGGCGAAAATTGCTGCATGGATCATGCCTCCCGTGCGCTCCAAATCTGGCGAGTCAGATCTCCCTCTGATCAAACACATAAGCGCAGGAACATGCCGGCCGGGCAATCCGGGCAAGAAGCACCATCAAAAGTTCGAGCTGCGCGATCACAGGCCCCAGGCGGCAGCTCTTATTCAAAGGAAATCAAGACTGGCGCCATCACTGTGAGGCCTGCCAGTCACTCTGGCTCACTGTTAGCTGGGATGCCAAGAAGAAGGCGGCACCACGGGCACTCCCACGCCATCGCCTCATGGATGTCCGTTGCGAGCATCGGGTTCACGAGACGCTCCGCCTGTGACGGCATCTGGCTGCGGGCGCAGAGCGGTACCCTGCACATGCAGCAGTGACCGCTGCGTGGCTGCGTAGCCCGTCGGTTGCCACAATCCGAGCTGAGTCACTCTCAACTTGGTGTGGATCCTCGGCCACACGCTTCTCCTTCATGAGGCCCTTGATGCCCACCTCCCAGAGCCTCCCGGACTTGCTCTGCATCAGCACGCAGAAGGGTGTGCCTCCTTGAGAGGCAGCGCACGATGCGCCAGCGCCAAGCCTGCTGAAAGTCCTCCTCCCTGCGCAAAGTGGAGATGCCAAAGTAGCGGACCATTTCGCCTGGCAAAGCCACTCCTCCTGTCTGAAGGCCTCCAGCTTGGGTACGAAGGATCAGGGTCGGTTGCTGGGCCGTCTTAACCCTGAAGCCGGTCAACGGAATCTCCAGCATCACCTCGCTCCCTTGGCTGACCTTCGCCGCACCGACTCCGCAGATGACGCCTCATCGTCGCTGTCACTCGGGCGTGCTCCGGCAGGATTGGCGCGCTGGACGGTCCCTCCGTCGCACGCTGTACGGCGGCTCCTTCAACATCCGCTTGGCTCTGCATTCAGCAGCCGGACGCTCCGCAGCCCGGCCCGTCTGCATCCGCGCATTTGTGGAGCTCCTCGCACTGTTGGGCAGCACATCGCCTGGAACCCAGTACACAGCGCTTGCCCGTTCCGGAGGTGCTTCGTCAAGTAGCGCTGTGGTTCAGCATCTGCGGCATGGGCTCGCTGAGCGGCGCCGCCGCCCGTGCTTCCTCGGCCCTCTTGCGCTGGAACTCAAAGCGAAAGGCCTGTTGGACCTCTGCCCCATCAGCCAAACAGTGCGCTGGTCTTGGCTCAACGCTCTGTCCGCCGCGATCATGGACTCTGTCTGGGCCTCCTCCAGAGCCTTTCGAGGGATCACATCTCAGCTCTCATAGGTGCCCAGCTCATCGCCATTGTGGCTCCTCTTTTGTGCAACATGGGTGCTGTCGGTCCAATCGCCCAGCGCCAGCGGCCTTCGAAGCGAGCCAGGTGACCAAGGGTCGGCATGACCCGGCGTCCTCCACGCACGCTATCTGGCCCTTGCATCCACTGCTGAAGGTAGATGGGATAGTCCAGGAAAATCCCTCACGGTTGCCAGCCTGCTTACACCGGCCGGCAGTGGAGCGTAGATCGTGAGAGGCGCACCGGGTATGACTGTCCGAGATGCCTGTGCCTGACCACTCCTACCGCCACGATCCACAATTGGCGAGCAAGGCGGTCCACTTTGGCACTTGGTGCTCCTCAATCTTGGGATCCAAGAACAGCAGCATGGGAGGCTCCGCCACCAATCTTGCCCTGCCACGCGGCTGGCTCCACTCCCCGCAAAGGCAGTCTCCCTGCCTTGGACTGCCAACGCCGTGAACAAAGGTGTCAAGGTCCACTGCTCGATCTTCTGAGGCCTTTATCGGGCCAAACAATCGGGTGACAGATCCTGTCACCGCTTTGAGTCCTCCTTGGATGACCGAACCAATCCATCCAATCCATCCAATCCACCCCAGCCCCAAAGAAATGGGCGACTTTTCTCTCTGAAGCTGTTCTGATCTCAGTCTCTTCAATTCGCCCAACTTCTTCGACCGTCTTGCCTTGTCGACAATGGCTCACCTCGCGGTGTGGAACTCGTTGCAGCATGGCCGCCACCGTGATGCGCTTCGCGGAGAGTCCCTGCAACGAGTCCGCGCCGCGCTGCTCTGGCGCCTGACGAAGGCTGCCGGGACATGGTGAGGTGACGCACACCTTGGGGGATCTCGGCGCCGTTGTCGAGGATGCGTCCAAGGCCGCTATCCAGTCCGAGGCCGCCAGTCCGAGGCCGCTGTCCAGTCCGAGGCCGCTGTCCAGTCCGAGCGGCGGTGTGCGAACTTCCTACAAGTTCTTGGCTGGTTTGGTGCACCCAGACAAGAGCGCCGAGGCCACTGCCGCCTTCCGGATGCTTCCGGGTCTGGCTGAGGTACACGCCCGCACGCGCACGCGGGACACTGCCGCCCTCCGCAGGCAGCCTTTGAGTTCGCTTGAGAAGTTGGTTTTCTCGGCCAAGGCCGCCATGGACGGGTGCCCGCCTCCGAGTGGGTGCGCTTCAGCTGGGCTAGTCGCTCCGCGCGCCACTCATCGTAGATGCGGTTGCTCGGCCTGTTCGCCCCCATCTCCTCAAAAGCCGCACTTGGCGCACCACCTTCTCGGGCGCGAAGTCGTCCCCAGCAAGGGCCCGACCCTCTGAAAGGAGGGCTTCGGGCGGGTTCTGAACACCGCCTTGCTCGAAGCGGCCTCCACCACCTGAGGCATCCACCGTCGTGCAAGGGGCCCAGCGCAAAACCTCTCAACTGTCCCTGCATGGCGAATCTCCACCACGGAGCCCCATAGCCCCAACGCCTGGTAGTCTCTCCACCACGCAGCAGCCGGTTGACCTCGTAGCGGAGGTCCATGAAAGCCGCAGGCGAAAGGACCTGGCGCTCCGTATGCACGGCAACATGAGTACCTGCCATTCAGGTCACTCCTGAGACAGAAAACTCAACTAGCCAGTTTGGATCAATACCTTGAGCCAAAATTGGCATGGTTGAAACTGCAGAAAGTAATGATACCTTGAACACCCAAGCCTGCCAGACCTCATTCAAGAATAACAAAGAAAAGTCACTGGCAATAGTGGTTCAGTGTCCGTGTCAAAAACACAAAACAGCAGGCGCAGCCGGACAAGTCCAAAGTGTCCATGAATGCTGAAGATGGATGGATGTCGCGCTCATTTAGCCATATTTGCAGGCTCACATCTGCAATGCTGTGAAACACACTGTGCAAACCCTACACTTCAGGTTGACAATTGCAAGGAGAACAGGTGGCTTTACGCATTCGCTTTTGCGGGTCTGAGTTCCTTTCAGACTGATCCTCCTTCGCCCAATATTGTTGCCGCCTACCCTGTTCTTTGGCTAGAAACAAGTCTTGGGGAATTCTTGGCTGCTCTTGGCTGGCAAAGCGGAATTAACCAGTACTTCTGCAGCACCAAGCAAATACCAAGCCTTCCATGCTCAGGCATCAGGCCTTCTCGTCCAGCAAACTGGATGCATCTTCATTCGCATTCAGCGTCTGAAGAAGTCTGACTGCCTGGCATGGCAATTGATGTGGCGACCCAACTTCCTGTGCCCAAAACCAACGTGCCTGCAACCAAAAGGAGGCGGCATCCTCATACACAGTGTTGCGCTGCTGGAGATTGCTGGCCTTGCCACTGGTCTCGACTGCCAATTGCAACAGCCAAGCTTTTCTGGCAGATTGACTTTGTGCACAGATAGCAACCCGACCTTTCCTTCTCAAATCCAAAACTTTCGTGAGCAAAAGTTCAAGAAAGCCCCGCGGATGGCCTGCATCACCCTCAGAGTTTCATTACCTCAGCTCAACGAAGACACCGCGTAATTACTTCAGGTGAGTTGCTGGTGTTTGCAGCTATGACATTTTGTTATTTTAGGAGGCCAAACCAGTTCTGGCTCGAGAACTCAAGAAGCGTGCATCGCTGGTTCTAGATTCCAAGTGCCTGCGATGGCTTCATTGATGCATTGGTTCAAAGAGGGAGAGCTGCAATGCCTGAAATCTGATTTATGGCCATGCTGTCCACAAGCAATGTCACAAGCCAAAAAGAAACGGTAGCAACTCCTATGTCACCTCGGATGATCCAGCGTTGCAAAAGCAGCATCCCTCGCATTGCTTCCGGCTTGGTCACAATGTGACAAAATCCGGCGTGGCTGGTGCAGCTTGAAATTCCATGCAATGGATGTCAGCTTTTGGAACAAATCAAGCAAACAGGGATCGATCTAGCAAAACAACTTCACACAGCTCACGTACCAAAAGTGGAAGTCAAAATTGTCTGCCTTCTCTGCCAGTAGGTTCCCCTCCTGAAAAGGCGATGCAAGGTGAAATTGACAACAAGGCGACGAGGCAAGCTTGATCTGCCGCTAAAGTGCCAAGTGAAGTGATGGCGATACGCACCTCCGCTCCCTCCAGTACGGAGAACGAAAAATCCGATGGCTCTTGCTCCTGGTCATGCACAACCGGCCAATGTGGAATCATTGTCCGCATGCGCAAAATGGCAATAGCCGTATGAAGCTTTCGTCCACTATGGCAAAAAACCATGTAGCACACCAACAAGATTGCCTTACAAGCAACGTGGCCAATGCCTGCAGACTCATCACGTGATCGTCGCTTGCCGCCATCCTGCCGATCGGACTGAGAAGTTGATCTACGCACTTTCTGCGATGATGATGCCATACTCCAGCTGAATCCAGTTTGCATCTGCATGGATTGTGTGCCAGTGTGTGTGTGTGTGCAATAAATCATTTCATCTTGGCGTCATTAACCAAAAACGCAGGTCCTTCTCCGTTTTCCTCATACGCGCTTCGATCAACACAGTTCAACCCCGCCAGAAAAGAATACATTGGAAATTGCAGGGGCGCCACTCTGCAGGCCGGCGCTACCGGTCGTTCCTGCGCCCTGCAGGCTGGGTGTTAAGCACTGCAGCCGATGCGCAGCAAACCGAACGTGACCTGGCGCAGCTGCGCACATGGCGCTGGAGGCCAACGGAAGCGACCGCATTGAGACGGTCTGCAATCTGGTTCGGGCCCAGCGACACCTCGTGAGCCAGTATTTGCGCGGCGAGTCGCAAGAAGATGTCCGAGACGTGGACATGGAGGCCGGCGACGGTAGCACTCTTGCCAAGCGTCTTTAGCCGCAACAGACCGGCGAACCCACGTCGGAAGCCTCACGAAACCGCTCGCGCCCCAGGTGGACGCGCGGGACCAACAAACGCGGTGGAAGTCCTGCAAACACCCACTCCCGCACGTTTCTTGGGGGAAGGTGCAACACTGCAGCCACCGACTGCATCGCTGCGCCGCAGCCCACGAAACCTGTGCCAATGTTGGGTTCAACACCTAAGCCAAAAATGGCACACATACCCCAATGTGAAATGACGCACGCTCACCCAAAGCCTGCCTAGCTCAAAGCACCATGCTTCAGTGTGATCTTCTTTTGGCTGTATGCAATGCATTGCAAGTTGCCTCACCAGACCAGGTCAGTCAGGAGAGCATGCAATGTTGTGTCGCCGGATTCAGCTTGTCAGCGTTGGCTTGCCCTTTACACCCCTCCTATTATTGCGTGTCTGCGTGCATCTGTTGCTCGCATCACTGCCCTAGCTTTCCAAGGTGTCCAGGGGCGTGCGTGGGCATGTGGCACGGATCGTGCCTGAAGCTCAAGCAGGACTCAAGCAGGTGCCTCTCTCAAGATGTTCCACAAAACAAGCTGCAAAGTGGCAAGGCTGTCCTCCAAAGCTGCTCAGTGACGTCTTCTCTGTCGGCAGCGCTGAAGCATGCAGGCAGAGTCATCATTGTGGAGAATACTATCGCAAGAGAAGCCCCAAAGAACCAAAGATGAGCTGCGGAGGGCGGCAGCAAGGGTTGCATGATACTCCTCAGTTCATCTCTGTTGCAAGTTCAACAAAGAGCACACACCTGCATGGCACGCCGTGCAAAGTGGGCGCGGCAGCCCCAAGGCAGTGGCTTCCATCTCGTCTGCCTTGCGCTTGGGCGCCGCTGTCTCGGCGGCAGGCTCCATCCTTTGCCGTGTTGCGACCTATATAATGTAGTGCAAGGGAAGCAATCCTTGCCAGGTATAGATTGGGTGAAATCCACAGTGTGGAGGCTGGTGGTTCCCAACATCTGGAGCTAGGCTGTTGAAACTGGTACTAGTAGGCTGAGACATGCTTTGACACTGAGGCGTCGGCTCTTGCATCGACAAAAGAAGTGCTTGTCGCAACTCCTCGTCCATGTCCTCCATGCCTAGGCTGGCCACAAGCTGAGCCCGGCCTATGTTCTCGCCATGTCCATGTCCGGGTGTGAAAGGGTCAGTTGGGC